CCTCTTACTATAGAATTGCTGGTTACCTTCAAATGTTGGAAAAAGTATCACCTCCTAAAGAAAGCCTTTCCTGATCCCCTAGCTACTAGTGTCTCCTCCTCAAAAACAAACAAACAAATGGCACTTTGTTTTTGTTTTGTTTATATTTATATATATTTATATCCCCCCCCAATAGAATGTGAGATCATTGAGGGTAGGGACTTTTATTTTTTTCCCTGGTTCTCTAGAACCTAGCAAAGTGTCTGGCATATACTAAATATTCAATAAATGCTTGTTGAAGAATGGTTGGATGGTTTCAAGAATACTTCCTCAGTTTTGTTTTGGTTTGAATATCAAGCCTACCACATTCAACGTTATTGATATACAGAATATGACAGTAATTGCAGAAGGCCCAGGGGGCCCATCTCCTTGTTTGAGCCAAACTGTCCCTAAAAGATAGCTCTCACTTTATGTAAGTGAACTGTTTGGCAGACTTCTACACTTCTGCATAAAGTGATTTTTACGTAATGCCAATTTGCCTAGGGACTTGGGGAAGGGAGGGAACAAGGGAGAGAGGCAAGAAGGGATCAATTGGCATATGGAGAGAGGGGAAGGCATATAGTTTAAGGGACAGAGAAGTGAGAGCTGAAGGAACGCTCAGGGATGGGAGCAGACCTGAGGTACTCAAGCACTGATAGTTGGGGCTGGACAGAGGTGGAGAGTGGGGATAGTGGGAAGAACAGGGCAAAGGTCTCCTCTATCAGCCCTGTAGGTCTCAAGCCAAGCCCCCTGATTGGGCAGAAGTAGTAGTGGTTTCTCAGTGCCTCTGTTCTGCTTTCACTTGGAGGGTGATTTTTATTTTTTTTTTTTAATTTTAATTTCATTTATTTATTATTTTTTGTGTGTGTGTGGAGGGGTGGACAGCCACAAGCAGAGGGGCAGGAGCAGAGAGAGAGAACACAGTACTATACAATAAAGTTAATAAAAGGGTTTTTTTTGAAATGTGGATTTCTTTCAGAATTCTTTATGTAAAATTAATTTGCATAATGCAAACTGTATTACAAATCATGATTCCACTCTTTAGCGTTCATTTTATTTTTTCTCAATATGAACATCACTGTAAGTACAACTGCTATGTATACATCTTGGATCATTGTAGTCACATGATTCTCAACAGGATGGACCATTAGGATCCATCTTCCTTCAATGATTATTTTCTTGTTATTTAAATATGTAGGTTTGAAGCAAAGAAATGGTCCATATGTCTGGAGGACAATTGGCATACATAATCTTTCCATCTGGCTCTTATCCTCCAGCTCCATTGGCTGTGTTCAAATAGAGAGTGGATGACCATCTGCTAAGGATGTTATGGAGGAATTTTTGTATTGAGGAAGAGGTTGGACTAGATGATCTTTAAGGCCCCTTCCAATTCTAAGAATCTGTGATTTGTTGTGTCTATGTAACACCTGCCAATTTGGTGAGAGAATATCGGACAGCTGGTCAAAGCTACTTCCTATTACATATATGGCTATAGAATTCTTGATTTCCTTCAGAAATTGGGTACCACCTCTTGATTTCATCATCACCATCCATGTCTTTACCAGTATGTTATAAATATCAGCTCATGATGAGTGTTGTGTCCATTTTACAGATGAGGTCATTAAGGCCCAGAGAAAAGTAGGTTACCCAGAGTAGCAAGATGCTTTAGAAGCAGATTTACAAATGAATTCAGGATTCGTGACTCCTTCAGCTAGGAGAATATCTCTGGGCTCTCATTCACTAATTGTTTTTGGCGATTGCTTTTGTTACTGTCCCCCTCAAAAAAAACCTTATAGCTACCTACTGTGTGTTCTAAGCTACTTACATGGAATCTCAGCAGAGTCATTGTCATAGATAAGGCAGGGAAGTAGTGAAGAGAGCCTCTTCTCTCACTGTGCGTTCAGAATTCTACTTTCTGCTGAGGTCAAGTTCCTTTGCTTAAACTGCTCCCAGAGGCCTCTCCTTCTCAAGGCAAGAAGAAGTAAGTGGGGAAAAATTCCCCTTTGCCAAAAGAGAAGGATATACACAATAAGTGCTGCATTGAGAACCTTATTGGTCTTGGAAGGGGAAAAAGGGCTCTTCTCTCTAAGGGATTTACTCTGGAGGGAAAGAGAGAGGGGAGGAAGGCTTGATTGCCCTTGTAATCTGTGTCCTCATTCTCTGCTTGCTGTGTGCCAGGAGCACAGGATCCAGGTGCACATTTTCCAAAATTGGAAAGATGATGAAAATTGTAAATAGGGACAGAATTTGCTTCTTCCTCTGAACCTCAGCACCTAGGACAGCACCTCAGTGCCCTGGCTCAGTCAGCACCTTGTATGTAGAAGGCACTTAATTATTGGCTTTCTTTGTTGGATTGAATTCCTTCTTAAGCTGGGTTCTGTAGAAGTGATGATTCTAAGGGCGCCTAGGACAAAGGACCAGCTGATGGAAAGAGATGCTTTAATTGGAGAATGGGGATGTGGAATTTTCTAAATGTCTTAGGCTTGAGTTTTACTCTGATTCTACATGACAGACAATTAAATAATTAAGTTATTACTCACGTGTTAAGAAGGATTGTGCATGATGCCACATACCCTCCTTCCAAAGTGGACAATTCACTTAGCCTCTCTGTGACTCAGTTTCTTTATCTATAAAGTGCAAGAGTCAGACTCAGTGGTCTTTAAAGTCCCTTCCATCTCTAAATCTATGATTCTGTTCTCCCACTTACTCTGCCCCCCACTTCTGAGGAGGAAATATCAGAATCATTCTCTTAATTATTTGCCCCAGTGGGCTCTTTTGATTTTAGAAGTTTCCATAGCTGTTCTGAAGGGTTAGGTGAAGCATCTGAAGATGTGCGAATGATTGAATTTGCTGAGAGTAAAGAAATATTTGTAGAAGTATTACATCAATTGTAATTCAAGAATCTGTGATTTTGTCACTGGGGGAATGCCCTCCACCCATAAAGATAGTAACTGGTTTATAATTTATAATCTTAGAGTTGTCTGAGACTAAAATGATTTGCTGATGGTTACATGACTAGTAAGTATCACATTGTAGGTTCTTTTTACTCTGGTCCAGGACTTTATATATTATGCCACACTACCTCAGTGGATAGAGTGCTGGACTTAGAATCAAGAACTGAGTTCAAATCCTTCCTCTGACATTTGCTAGCTGTGTGACCATCAGCAAGTCACTTAACTTCTCTCAGCCTCAGTTTCTTCATCTGTAAAATGAAGATAATAATAGCACCTACTTCACAGGAACACTGGTAGGGGCAATATTGTATAATAGAAAGACCAAAGGACTTAGAATTTGAAGACTTGGGATCAAGTCCTCCCTCTATCACTTCCCAAGGCATAACCTGGGGCAAAGTCCTTAATCTCCCTGAGCCCTAGCTCCTCAATATGAAAAATGTGGATAATAATACCTCACAGGGTTGTTGTGAGGCTCAAATGACTAATGCATGGGAAGTGCTTTGTAACTATAAATCTCTTTGTATGTGATCTATGATTATTGTGTTATTCATTGATATTTATTGATCAATATCATATTTGATCATCATGATACATGTGAGACTCTAGGAAAGTCACTTAATCTCTATTTGTATCAGTTTCCTCAAATGTAAAATGAGGATAATAATAGCACGTATCTCCCAGGATTGTTGTGAGGAGCAAATAAAATAACATTTATAAAGTGCTTAGCACAGTGCCTGAGATATATTAGGTGCTTAATAAATGCTTGTTTTCTTTGTCCTTCCCTCCTTCTCATCTTCTCTTCCTTCCTTCCTTCCTTCCTTCCTTCCTTCCTTCCTTCCTTCCTTCCTTCCTGATGAAATTGCTCAAAATACAAGAATGCAGATACAGAGCATTTCTAAGTCATTCTTAAACCTCATTTCTTCCAAATGGAATTAAGGCATGTGCTAACTCACCTCCCTTAATTTCAGACAGGAATCTAATTTCCATAAAGTCAAGGACAGGTTTCAAAGTACAAAACAATTGCTAACATCCAGGAATGCTTGGGTCTTCATGGTGATGGCAGGCTCTGCTGGACCACCAATGTCCAAGAGCATGGCTCTGTCTACCCACTTGTGGGCATGGCAGCTTGTAACTCTCAAATTCTTCAGCATGGGGGCTATAACTTTGCATTAGTGTAGACGGGCAAGGTTCGTGAGAGTGGTAGTGTGGATATCCCCTGAATAAGTTTGATGTAATATAGCATGGCACATGGCTATGACTTTGAAGACTTTTTTTCCCTACAGGTGAAAATAGTCTGAAGTGTTCCAACCTTAGTGCAAGGCTCATGGTGGGGCTCTGTGGGGGAGTCTGCCTTTCCATATGTTGGCAGACTTCTGCTCCCTTAACAACCTGGATGACTCTCTAGTGAGCAACCATCCAGGAAGAGTTTCTTCCTTTTTCCCTCTTTCTCCTTGCCACTCCCTTTTAGACTTGCTTGTGTTGATTGTCATACTTGCAAAGTGTTGCTAATAAAAACACTTGTTAGGGGAAAAATGCTTGGAGATCTTTAGGTGGTAGGGTGTCTGGGTTGTATAACTGAAGCTCTTAAGTATCCATCCTGAGCCTTATAGCTCATCACTTTGGAGGCTGGAGAGGCTTATTTTGGGGAGGAGGGGGAAAGAGGTATGATGGGATTGCATGTTGAAAATGAGTCCCATGTAAAGCTTTAATAAATCATAGCTTCAAATGGGACCCATTTTCTTTTTGGCTAGGCAATGGGGTTAAGTGACTTGCCCAGGGTCACACAGCTAATAAGTGTTATATGTCTGAGGCCGGATTTGAACTTAGGTTCTCCTGACTTCAGGGTCTGTGCTCCATCCACAGTGACACCTAGCTATCCCTGGGACCCATTTTCAAGAGAAGCCTTGAGGACCTCTTGTATTTAAATAGGCAGGGGTGGGTGATGTCTTGGAGAATGAAAACAGTAGTAGCAGAAGGTACTGACTTGTCACCCTCTTCACCCCTTCCTTTTTCTTGTCTCCCTTCTAGTCTGTGGCAAACGTTATAAGAACCGGCCAGGGCTCAGCTATCATTATGCTCACACACACCTAGCCAGTGAAGAAGGGGATGAAGCCCGGGAGCAAGAGACACGGTCCCCACCTGTCCACAGAAATGAAAACCACAGACGTGAGTACTTTCCTATCCTTTGCTTTTGATTTATTTGTTTGGAACTGGGATGAAATAGTGTTGGGGGTGGGGTAGGAATTGATAAAGAACTGAGAATCTCTCTCTCTCTCTCTCTCTTCTCTCTCTCTCTCTCTCTCTCTCTCTCTCTCTCTCCCTCCCTCCCTCCCTCTCTCTCCCTTTTCCTCTCCCTTACCTCTTCCCTCTTCCTCCCTCCTTTCCTTTCTTCCCTTCCTCCTCCCCCAACCTTTCCTATGTTCCTAGTCATTCTTATTGATTTGTTCTATGCCATGGGGGAAGCTGGATTTTTGAACAGAGCTGTTTAGCCCTCTCTGTTGCTAAGCTGAGCTCGAGGACTCCACGCGAGCTCAGCGTGAGCTGTGTGGCAGGCCGCATTTCTATCACTGTTCCCAGAGGGAGGGAAGGGAAGTGGTTAAAGGAAGAAATAGGAGGGGTCCTTAACTAACCCAACATCAAATGTCAGTCCTGCTGTGGCTGTTCCTCAGATCAAGGAAATCTGCCACTTGCTTCTGTAGAACCAAGTTTTGACTTGCCCAGCTAGTGATGAATTTGGTACTACTGCCTTTGGGCGTGTCTATTCCAACTGAATATTGAATTTCACTATTCAGCCATCATGAGCTATAAGAAGGTGTCTTTGATTTATTGTTCTGTGCACTGACTCTGGCTTTGTTTTCGGGGTCAGAATTCTGCTGCAGGAGCCCTTTGCCCTGGATATAGTGCCTAGAGTCTTCAGGCTGTTTTGTATGTGCACTCAGCTTACAACGTCATCTGTGCCATCCTTGTCCTTTTGAAAGCAGTGTTCAGTAGACCTAAACAGGCCCCTGAAGGACTTCTGTTTCCTTTTCCATTTTTGCTTTTCTTCCTCTGCTGGACCAACCTCCAAGCTTTGGCTTGGTTATTCAAGAAGGACTGCAGCTACTAACACATGAAGACTCAGAGTTGGTAGTGGAGATGCTTGATATGCTCTTAAATTGGTTACCTCTTTCTGTCGCCATGACCTGGAATCGAGAAGAGTCTTACTAAATCATTTTGTAGGTGTCGATGCATTAATTTAGTACCAGGAGAGATTTTACAGGTGATCTAATGCAATGCTTTGACTTTACAGATAAGAAAATTGAGACCCAGAGATTAAATTGAGATCCAGAGATTTAGGGGCAGCTAAGTGGTACAGTAAGAAGCAGTTAGATGCCTCAGTGGATAGAACACTGAGCCTGGAGTCAGGAAGACCTGAGTTAAAATCTGGCCTTAGATACTTACTAGTTGTGTGACCTTGGGCAAGTCATTTAACCTCTGTTTGCCTAGGAGGCAGCTAGATGGACTCAGTGGATAAAGCACTGGGCATCAGGAACACCAGAGTTCAAATTCAGTATCAGACACTTACTAGCTCTGTGAGCCAGGGCAAGTCACTTAACTCTGTTTTCCTTAATCCACTGGAAAAGGAGATGGTAAACCACTCTAGTATCCTTGCCAAGAAAACCCCATGGACAGTATGGTCCATGAGGTCATGAAGAGTTGAACACAACTGACCAACAGCAGCAGCAAAGTGGCTCAGTGGATAGAGTGCTAGGACCGCAATAAAAAATATCTGAGTTCAAATCCAGCCTGGGCAAGTTACTCAGTCTCTGTTTGCCTCAATTTCCTCAACTGTAAAATGGGGATCGTAACAGCATCTTCCTCCCAAGATTGTTATGAGGATCAAATGAGATAATTATAAAGTGCTTAGCACAGTGCCTGGCACATAGTAGGAACTATAAATGTTAGTTATTATAACTACTACTATTATGGTGACTATTATTAGCTTGTTATTGACTTCTTACATGTCACATAGGTAAGGGAGTGGCAGAGGTTCTCTGTCTCCAAATTCAGTTTTCTTTTTACTGTACCATACAGTAAATAGGAGAATAGGAGAAATGCTTTAGAAGTATTGCCAAATGATTTCTTGTTCATTCTCCCAGTTTGGTGGGAGTTGATTTTAAAGTATATAATTCAACAGCTTTGAAAGGCTCAGAGCTTTTACCTGTGGGTGCCCCTCTCCTCCAAGCCCTGACTCTCTTACTTAGGCTTTGTAGTTGCTCCATATGAATTTCAGATGCTAAATTCCAGGTTGAGAATCAGAGTGCAACAATATACCCTAAGGAAGGTTGACTGCTTTCACGTCTCAGCTTAGGATGCAATCTGGAATAATTAAAATGCCCATAGCTAAAAATTTGCTTAGCTACTTGTATATTTATCCTGTGGCTGGAGAGAATTCTTTATGTGATGTTAACACAGAGAACCTTCCCCTTTTCCATTTTCCTTCTTCTTTTTCTGGGGATGGGCATTCTTCTGCCAAGGCGGCCATGCCTTTGATGGAAAAGAGTCTGAAGGACCTTTCCTGTCTTCCCCATTAGCTCCTCCTCCTCCCCCATCTCACCTTCTTGTGAACATCTGCAACTGATGCCTCTATTCTCTCTCTGGGGAGATGCTTCTATGTCCTAATCACCCCTCACTGTTTAGTTCAGAAAGAGGAAAAAGAAATCAACCTTCTTAAGCTAAGGTTGAATCTTCCTTCTGGGACACATCTTCTTTCCTTCCCACAGTGTGGCTCTTTATATTTATATTGACATCTTGAAATTATTTATTAGCTTGCTATTATTTCCAACCTCTACCCCCAAACACTTTCTACCCCAAAGTCTTTTTTTCAAGTGGGCATATTTTTCCCCCTGCAAGATTCTCTTTTCATCCTACCATCTTAGAATTATTTTATTCTCTGGTTCTTTGTTTTCCTGTATCTTGTCTGGCCTTGCTTAACTGTGTGGGGGAGTACAGCTCCTCCCTGTATTTCAGGTTGAGTAGCTTCAGGGTCTGAGCAAAATAAAGTAATATCCTGCTTAGCTTTTCACCTGATCCCCTCTGGGTTGCACATTCACATCTGAGAAGGGCATCAACTTCTTGCATGATCTTATCAGCTGGATATCCTTGGCTCTTTGCAGAAAACTGCCCCCTGTTTTCAACTGAAATCATTTCTTCTTCTTAGGTGGGTGTGGGATGTGCCTTTGTAAGAAATCACATCTTGATTCTTGCTCTGCTCTTTCCAGGCTATTTTGTACTTTCATTGTCTTGCAATGGTTACAACCCTTTCTCTGTCTCCCCCCACCCCCCCCGCACTCCCCCCCAATGTCCCACCCCCACTCCTCACCCCCACCCCATGAGACTGTTTCTTCAAAGATATCTTCTGATTGACCTAAGTTTCAAACGGTGTGGAAGATAATAGTTATGTTACGGGTTAAAGGAGTGCTTCACATGGGCAAAACTCAAGGAATTTCACAAACAACATTTTCATCCAAACTCCCTTTCACACTCATTTGAAGACTGTTTTTGATTAATCCCGGTATTGCTATGATCATTGAGAGGGATCCAGTGTGTTGACCAACGATCAATAAATCAAGTGTCTACTATGTGCTAAGTATACAAATATAAAAATGAGATGGTCCCTGCCTTCAAGGAGCTTACATTCTACTAGGGGAATACATAATGTTCACAGATGAGTAAATACACAAGGTATATAAAATAAAGCTACAGTATGGATGGGGGAGGTGGACACTACTAATTTAAAGAGTCAGAAAAGGTCTCTTGAAGGAGGAGGCATTTGAGTTGAACCACACTGGGGAAGGCTTTAAGTGCTAAACAGAGTAGCTTGTATTTGATTCTAAATACAAAAGGGAGCTACTGAAGTCTCTTGAGTAGAGGAATGCTATATGATCAGATCTTCACTTTAGGGATATTCCATCGGAAGTGATGTGGAGGCTGAGTTGGAGAGGGGAGAGGGTAGATATCAAGAGATTGTTGCAGTAATCTGTGGGAGAGTTGAAGCAAGAGCCTGAGTGAATCATATAACCTTTCAAAGCCTCGGTCTTATCATTTGCAAAAAGGGCAGTGCTTCACAAAGTTCTGAGGAAAGCCTTTTACAGACTTTAAATAGTTCTATAAATATTCTCGTAGTATTTCTCCCCCCACCCCCCCATTGACACTATTATTCTGTCTGTTGTTTGCTGTTCTAACCCTTTTTCCTAGCTTTGAAAGCTTTCAATGCAACCCTTTCCTCACCTCAACAGGTGACTTCACTTTCTAGTAGGAAAAATTGAGGCAGTTTGTCATGAGCTCTCCCTATTCCCTTAATCCAATCTCAAACCCTTCTCATCTCTTTCTTTTGCTTCTGGTTTCTTAGAAAGAGATGGCCCTTCTCCTTGCCAAGTCTAATCCTTCCATTTGTGTCCATGGTGCCATCAACTCTATCCTCTCGGGGATCTTGCCTCCTTTATCCTTCCCTCTCTCAATCTCTTCACCAGTTTTTTTTTTTTAATCTTGGAGCTTTATGATGCTCAGTTAGGCCTTAGAAAATTTATTGGTGGGTGGGGACACTAGGCTTGGATTAAGTAGAGTTAGGTTCAGATCCTGCCTCAGATGCTACCTTTGTGACTATGGTCTAATTACTTAACCTTTGAAAGGCTTAGTTTCTTAGGAGGTCCTCCCCTTAGCACTCTGGGAAAACCCCGACAGATGCATTTGTTTATTCAACTTGGAGTCTCTCTCTCTCTCTCTCTCTCTCTCTCTCTCTCTCTCTCTCTCTCTCTCTCTCTCTCTCTCTCTCTCTCTCCCTTCCCTCTCCCTTTCACTCTCTCCTTCTCCCCCACTCCCTTCTCCACCTTGCTCCTTCTCTCCTATTCTCTTTCTCTCTTCTTCCTCCCCTCTCCTACTCTTTCCCTCTCTTCCTCTACCTTCGCTGTCCCTTTTCTTATCTCCCTTCCTCCTCTCTTCCCCTCCTCTTTGCCTCTTTCCATCTCTGCCTCTTCTCTCCCCCTTCCCCTCTAACCCTTCCCTCCTTTCTTCCCCTCCATCATCTCCCCTCTCCCTTTCCTCCACTTTCCCTTTCTTCCTTTCCCTCTTCCTCTCTCCCACTACATATTATCTTTTCCTTGTGCAGAGCCCCTGGTAGCTTTTCA